AGGAAGAGCCAAAATCGTGAGGTAGCAAGTAAAATCAAAGGAGAAGGTGTGTGTGGTTGGGGGAGAGAAGTTTGCGTCGTGTAGGCTTAACTCAGCGTGAAAGTCAAAGGTGGAGATCAGGGTGGGACTGCGGATAAGCAGATACACAAGCAGGAACACATTTCTAACCCTGCACCCAGCTAATTCGGACCCCACTTAAGCTAAATTCCTTGAACACCCATGCACAGTAAGACAATCCCCTCTAGAGGAAGGAAGGAGAAGTGAGGCTCTTCACCAGCAGCCTCCCTCTGACCACAGGCTGAAAATAGCATCTTCTGTGTGAGCTGGTACATCGCCCCAGTCCCTTGTCACAACCAGTGCAAGAGAGGGTTTGCACTGGGACTGATCCGGAGGAGTTTCAGCCCAGGGAACGCACTCTGCAGAACCCAGCTTGTGTTAAGACTACACAAGCACACGGACAACAGCCCAAGGAAGACTCACAGGTCCTGAGCTGGCGACACGCAGCAGCCACTCACAGCGTGAGCGTTTCCCACATGTACTGATATTCAGACATAATTCACCTGAACGGGTCAGCTTCAGACTCCTTGTCACACCTCCTGTTCCGCTGGCAGCGGTGACCAAGCACAGTGAAGCTGTTTCCCCTCCGACACCTCGTGGGTTCTGGAAGGAGATGGGTCGTGAACGAAGAAAGGCAGGAGAGCCTCTGGGCTGCCCCACAGGCAGAGCCCGGGGTGTGCGTGGCCTTTTCCAGATGAAAAAAAAAAAAAAAAAAAAAAAAAAGCCTTCACAACCATCACTGAGAGGACAGGCATTTAACAGACGTAGAGACAGGTAAGTCTGTTCTGCAGCGGTTTAATTTAACTAGCCTGGCTATCACTTAGCAGCCTAGGCTACACAAGGGGTATTTATTTTGGTGTGCTTTATACTCAAGTTTTACAACCGGTTTAGAGACACACCTTGGTGTGGGCAGGGAGTTTAAGAGACTTACAAGCAGTCTTAGATCCAGATTATTCTTGTCCATACTGCAGTAACAGTGAGGAACCTAAACTGGATGGTTAAGCCCTGTCTAGATGGACTAAATTTGTAACTCAAGCCCAGTGTTACTGCATTGGAATACATCCCCAAAGTGACAGCTGATGGCCGGAGTCAATAGGAAATTTGTGAACGAGTTAAAAAAAGCAATTCACTCTTGAATTGCAACAAGCTTGTACGCAATGACGAACAGAAAGGTTTCTGTAAAGAAGAAAATTCCTAGTTTGACCTTGATCACAACAGCCTTTAGTCTGGCACATCAATTTACATATATTAACCATCCAGGTCAGTGGAGTAGGATGAAAAAAATATATATACAAGAGGGTTTTGTGCTAGGTAGTCAAACACTGTTATATTAAGGCAACTTGAGCAATTCAATGCAGAACTGCTGATATTAAGCAGCAGCACTTCAATCAGAAGTGACAAAAAATTTTTGTTTAGGGAGACACTCCAGCCTTTCTGTGTTTCCTGGCAGAAGCCGATTTATCTATTGTAAAATTCAACAGCTTCGGCAACGCTGAACTGCCTCTCAGAGGGAGCGCGCCTTGGCAGAGCTTAAAGGGGAAGACAAAAACTGGTTTACAAACTGCAAAGAGCTGATAGCACTGGATTTTCCTGCTCAAGCAGCCATCACGATCCCGGTGAGGTACAACACAACTGCATTCTTGGCAGCTCTTGTGAGCAGCCCCGCCAGAGACTCGGTCTCCCACTTTCCCTCAGTGACTGCAAGTACAAGTAGGCTCCTCCTAGGAGGTCTTGTCAGTATTTATTTCATCCCTTCCATTTTTAGGCTGTTTAAACATTGCCATTGTGGCAGCTTTGGTGAAGTTCAGAGCTTGGCAGAGCATCATTTGTGAAACACGATGAAGTTTTATCTCACCTAGAACAAAGACCAGCGGCTTGCTCAGAAGAGGAGGCTCAACTTTTCCTGTCCTGCGTCACCGATGAGACACAGCTTCTCGCTGACAGAGCACAAACAGCTGGAGCCAAGACTCCCAGGCAACGTGTCTTGGCCTCTTTGCAAAATTAGTGACTTAACGGATGATGAATGACAGCGCTACATATACGGCAGAGCTTTGGGTTTTACAGCCTCCCTCAGCGCAACCCAGCTCCACTTCACTTTCCTTAAAGTCAGCGAGCTGTGAACCCCAGGACACCCAAGGAGTCACCTTCTGAGCCTGTGTCTGCTCCGAGAGCATCAACAGCTGCACAAGGGTGAAACAGCTTCAGCTGGACCTGCTCGTGTTACTGGGATCAAAGACAAACAGCTGGGAAGGGACAAAGAAACCTTGACCCAGCAGGAGTGAGTTGGACATCGTAATGTAGTGGTGATCTGTTCTCCCTCAGGTCAATGATTATGCTATTTCCTGGCCTACAAACTCTTTTTCCATCACCTTTCTGGCTGTGCTCAGCTTGAAATTCAGGATACATGTTACAGCTTTCCACAGTATTTTGAGTGTTTCTAGGTCATTGGCCTCCATATGCTGTCAGAGGCCCAACAACCTCCCTCCAGAACCAGTATATCCTGTTTACTTGAAGTAATTGCAGCTGAAACCTTTGCATCCAACACAAAAAGCAGCCCTTGATGTAGGATGTTGTGGCAAGAATGGACATAGCATATCAGTGCAGTAATATCAGTGACATTACCCAACCCAAATGTCCACTTTCCTGTGTAAAAATCAATACCATTACTTCTACAAGGCAAGCAGGACTCAGTCCTGCTGACCAACAACATAATAAAAGAGATTTTAAATTTACGCAAAGCTCGGTGCAGTCATCAACCATCCGGAGCACTCACGTGACTGTTTGGGTAATGAAGGACACTGGAACATGAAGCGTCACCACCCGCTGGAGGATTCATCGGAGGAATCGCGCTTCTTGGAAAGGAAAACTGCTTTAGACGTTAGCTTTTTCTCCTGCTGTAAGTGCCTTTGTAGACAAGCTAATAAAAACCTCAGAGTACGTAAGTCTATTCGCAATTACTTAAATTTCTATTTTGTAGTTCTCTTTAAATAAAGGAGGCAGCCACTGTTGACTTAAAACTGTTCCTAATGCAAACTGATCTTAAGTTAGAGTTCAGACTACAAAAGTCCAATGAAATAAAGATGATTCACCTATTTTTGGCTCTCTGTCGACACTGGCAGTGAAGAATCGCATGACACCAGCACACCAGGACACGCGCTCACGCCGTTAGTGTCAGGTACTCTCCAACACGACAATTTCATACTCACATTGTAACAATACTTTCCCACTTTAAGGAGGAAGGATCTCATTTTGAGTTTACTCTCTGATGCTAACCACAGCAAAACTTAACTTCGTTCAAAAGGCCACATAAGCTATATTAATGCACACGGGTTTAAAAGGAACCAAAGTCTCCTGAAAAAGGGCTGAACACCATCCTGTTCCGTATCTCTTTGCTTTATTATAATGCTTTTTAAAAGATGACACTGCAGTTCAAGTCCGGTACCACTCTACAGAACAATGAATAGTGTTCACCGAAATTGCCATTCCTGTGAACTTCACAAAAAACACATCAGGAAAATTAAAGATACAGTACTCCATATTGACCAAGTTTCTGCTGGCATGAAAATGAAAGAGAGCTCTACAACTACCAGTCACCAAGCTATTACAATCCAACTCTAACAACGGACATTGAAATGTGTCTTGATTGATTTAAATCACTGATTGCTCAAGCCTTTCTTAACAGGGTTACTGAAATTTAACAGTGCCAAAGTAAGGTGAAAACTGAAAATTCCTCGCTAGATCGCTGTTCTCCAAGAGGACCACTGTATCTTTAAACATATCCTGGATTAAACAACAAAAGGTTTTACCTACACTTGTTAAATTATTGCACAGATCATTACACTGATAAATACATTAAGAACCCATGGAATGTTACACAGTCTGGCCTGGAAAATAAAAGCAGCAGCATTATCCTTGAGGTCTCAACTATGAGGGAGTTGGCCAAGCACTACTTCAAATAATTAACAGGTTTCAAGACACAAATGAAACAACTTTAAAATAATCCCTAACCCCTAGGATTAGGTTCCTGGTTCAGGAACATTCTCTAAGACTTTCACTCTTTTGCAAGTGGCACTTAGTTTGAATGTCCTGAAGTTTTCTTGTTTCAGGCTACCTGTAGGAATCCAGCTGCTCTGTATTTTCCAAAGTTGAAGCCATACAAAGGAATAAAATCGCTTTGAAACACTAGGAAATTTAAACCAAACATTGCAAGGTCCAACTGTTGCAGTCGTCACTTCACCTTCGGTGCTCTCTCCCGGCAATTTGTTTATACAACTTAAAATGAATACATGGCGTGGGACTGAAAGGGAAGTGGAACCCTCCTCACCCGTGCAACAGGTGACGCACACAGTGACGCCACGGCCGTACAACCCACGTGCTCACTCAGATTCAAGGGCTGGACCTTCACTTAGATGGGTGCCCTCAGCTCCCACAGACTGTACTCAAGGCCTCTTCTTACAGTGCTCACAATCAGCCCATAAAAAGAAGGATTTGGAGTGAGGAGGAGGGATCAAAGAAAAGTCTAATTCATAAACACTCACTCCACACATGTACCTTGGTTGCATCCCACCAAACCGCAGAAAAAAAAAAAAAAAAAAAAAAAAAAGTAAAATCCAGTAAAAGAAAGGCTTTGCAAAAGAAAACGCCCTCAATTTCATCCTCTCCTCTGGAAGACATAGTAAAGTGTTCAGATTCAGACAAGTCATTAAAAAAATACCGATTTGCCTGCCCAACTGAGACCAGTCGGTACAGCTGGTATACTAGTTTTGTGGCTGGTTACATGGTTTGCCATTCTATTGGGTTTTAGTATCTTCCATTAAGACTTTTCTAGGAGTTGCAGCATTTTTGTTGACTCTCTGCAGCACTGCAAAAAGAGATGGTGGCTGTTCTGTTCACCAGAACAGTTCTCCAGCTCCTCAACTGGAAGAAAAATCATTACCCAAAGCTTCTGCCTGAGTAGGGCTCAGGCTGTTTAGTTTAATGTAGAACATAAAGTTTCAAGAGATACAAAAATAAAAGCGGAAGAACAAACAAATGGCTCATGCCAATTGTAGCTGCAAGTGATACAGAAATAAACCAGTTTTCTCCTAGGCAAACCACACAGCTGAGGAGAACGTATGCATACACATCACAATACTGTTGATTGAATGGACTGAAATAAAGCTTATCCTGCTACAAGCTATTTCAGGAGGTTTATGAAAGAGAAATTGTAATAAATTTCTACACGGGAAGCTGAGCCAGCTTCACATCAGACAGACACCAGCAGTCAGACAGCGCAACCCATCAGGTGCATTTGGCCGTCGCCGCTACCGCAACACTTCACAAAGCCTGTCAAACCCTTGGGGGGGTGGGGGGGAGTGGGCAGCCCCATGGCACGCACAGCACACAGCACCACTCCCAGAGCAGAGAACATGCCTTACGGCTCCCTGCTGGGCAGCAGACACGGGACAAGGAGGCAACAGAGGTGTATGCAGAAAAATACAAAGTCATGTTCGACATGCAATTAAGCTATGATAAAGGTCTATTTGGAACTGGAGGAAAAAAGCAGAACAAAATCCTCGGTTTGTAGTCGGGCTGTAAACTTCTGCCAGTGGAAACACGAGCAGAATTGTAAACTGAGATCTCTCGTGCCTTGGGCACTTCCAAAGGGTCAGCGTGTGGGTGCCTGGCAGGGCTCAGCTGAGAGTAATGCTTGGGTGGTAAGTGGCACCGAGTGCTGCTGCACGAGCGGTACAGACCATGCCACCAGGAGAAGAAAGGGAGGGGAAAAAAAAAAAAAAAAAAAAAAAATCCTAACTCTTGCAGGACAGGGCTAGAGAAGACTAGAAAAATACCTTGTTCGCCATCTGAAAGATTCTACTAAAGAAATACAGAATCAGGCTATAAATAGAGCTGTTTCTACTTAGACTTAAGCCTTTTAAATTTGCTACTTTCGAGGTGATTCATGATTTTCTTTTCTTAACCCCTCGATCTTACCATAAGCTCCAAAACCTCTGTGAAGAGAAAAAGATATGAAGCATTCATTATTTAAGGTAACCTTGACAACTTCGATTTAGTTGTTTGCTTGAACAAATTAACAAATTTTAAAAAAGAAAATGCTTTTTAGGTATGTATTAAGACTTACAGGGTCCACAGTAAAGAACTCCATGCTGGTAGTACAGCAGACTACACAATGATATCATAATCTGAAGTTTTCAAGTCAGCTGATTGTTTTCGGGCTGAGTGTACATTTACAACCCACCCCCAAAAATAAAATGGGATACACAGGACACCTTTGTTGTTAAAGTCATAATTCTTCTGTAGAAGTTATGGTTTGTGTCATGCAAAGCAGTTTCTTAGGTCAAAACTGATACATAGCTGAATCTTCTATTCCATTCCTTAATGCTGACAAGGAGCTTCTAAAGTTTCCAAAATAGTGTTTCTTTAACAAGATCCAGAAAGAAAATGTGGAGAAATACATGATAGTGAGATACATATTGACATATTAAAGATTAATTTGGAAAACGTCTGCTTAATTTAAATTTTGCTATTAAATCCAGACATCTACTCCATCTTGAAAGGGGCTTGCTGCCAGCCTCTCTCCTTAATGTTCTCATATTTTCCACCCATTTTTTTCTCACTGGAATCTTTTTTATAGATTTGTTTCACTGCCAAGTTGCCAAACCTATCTTCAAAAGGCCATAAGCAGCAGAAAGATTTCATTTTTATCAGAACAGATAAAGTAGATGGGTAGAAGGAAGAAAGAGAACAAAAACAGACTGTATAAAATACTCAAAAACTGGGGGAAGGGTGTAGGTAGGGAAGGAGAACACCACAGCTGTGGTGGAGAGCTGCACTGTGCAAACTCTTAACCTGCTGAGCAAGGAGCCATTCTGGAGATCCCTTGACAGCTCAGGTCAAAACTGTGAGTTTACACAAATAAAACACCTAGCTCTAGATTCCTTATTAATTCTAAGGGGAGAAAATAAGTTTTAAAAGACTAAAAAAAAAAATTAAATCTCATAAAGTTTAAAACCAAAGCTCCAATAAAAAGTATCTTAAAGACCATCTTGAGTTGCCAGACTTAATAATGTCAGAGCAATCCATAAGGCATTTGAACTAGATCTGTTCAACTACAGTTTGCTTATTTAACAGCTATCTTTTCAAGACACATCCTGTCCTTTCTTTGCATTAAACACCTCAGGTCATCTCAAATTATATGAGGACTGGATGAATAACTATTAACCTACACATGCAAGGATGTACCATGAAAACGTGCTTGCACTGATTTTTTTTTTTTTTTCCTTTGAACATTTGTGTTAAGAAAGTCTGTGTATCCAGCTTCAGTAGTGCAAGGAGAATATATTTATCACTATTCCTTAGAAAAGGGACAGCCACCTTTATGTAATAAAAGATTCAGATGCTACTCTTTTTTTTTTTTTTTTCCCTAAACCGGGGTAGAAGAAAGGAGAACGAATGGGAAGCACAAAAGTAACAGATCAGTAAGGTCAACCAAGATACTCCAGTTGCATGTAAAACTTCCTCCCCTCAATCAGCCAGCATAGCCTCCCTCTCCTAGCTGTGCAAAACAGGGCTAACAGAGTTCTACCAGTTCTGGTTATCCCACCCATCATCAGCTGAAGACGCCTTTTTTGTTGCCTTAGGAGGTTTTTTGGTCTTGCTCTCCCCTCCTGTGTTTTCCCAGTTGGTCTCCCAATTTTCCCAACTGTCGCTGTTACTGTTCTTGTTGTTGGAGACTGTTCCTGAGCCCCACACGTCCCAGCTGTCGGAGCTCTTCTTCTCTGTGGAATTGTCCACATAGGTCCAGCTCTCACTGCTTGGAGATTTATGAGCTTTTGGTGGATCCGAGTTGCCAAAGGTCTCCCAGAAGCTTTGATCTACAGCATTGTTCTGGTAGCCCTCCCCTCCACTGTTCTGGTAACTGTCTCCCTCAGCTGGTCTTTTATGGGGGGAACAGAAAAAAAAAGGAAGGTAGAAATAAATTTAGTTATGAGAAACACAATAAAAATAACACTAGCAAAGAAAATTATAATGCTACTGCCCTTTACTTAAACAAAAACTGAGTCTAAAGGCAGAAGAACTAAAAATACTGCTCCAAATGGCATAAGCTTATATCCTAATTCATAGATTTTTGTTAACAGCTTTAAGTACCAATAACCCCAAGGCGAGGGGATATGCAGTTGGAATAATTTAAAAACAAGGTGCCATGCACTATTTTGTTCTCAGTTTTACAACTGTCATAAACAGATTGAATTCCTCCCATGTTACATACAGGAAAACTACTAGCAAAGACAGATTAATTTCTTTATATTTAAAAAATACCTGCTACTACTATACTGCAGAGAACATACAGGAGATAAAATTAAATGTTTAAAGAGACACAGAAAACGATAACAAAAAAATACCTTTCAGAATTATCATCTGGTTTGCCAGAAAAAAAAGTGGTGACATCTCGCCATCCCTTACTTCCCACTCCCTGAACCTAGAGAAAAAAAACAACACTCCATTTATTCAGACTGCACCAACACCTCCTCCAAGTCCAACAGCAAAATTCCTCCAGACCACATTCCTCCACTTGTTCAGATCAAGAGAACACACTTCATCAGAAAATTTCACTCACAATTTATTAATATTTTTGATGGGCAGTTAGGTGGTTGATGTAAGGAACATACATTTCATCATGCTGCTGGAAGATGTGAAAAGTTTAGCTTTTTTATCCATAATAGCTTAGCTTTTTTATCCATCATAGTCAATAACAGCTTTTGAATTCTCTCCTAGACTTCCTTGACAAAAATGCTGGAAATTAAAATGACAGCACTGCTGTTTTGATGTTATGATTCATATAAGTAGTATTTTTATTTTTACTGTCCCAGAAAGCTACTTTCACCCCACTTCAGAAGTATTATTTCACTGCCCAGGTAAAACAGTTCAAAAGTTGAGTTCTAGAATGAACGTGACTACCAGGAGAATCTTTTGGGGGTTATTGTAACGGACTGGCCTTGGATTAGAAACACAAATTCAGTGACACCCATGGAAGTTAGTATTCTTAAGTCAGAGGATGAATCCCAGAATTCAGACTTAAAGTTGTCAGGCTCTAAACAGGTAACGTCACTTATTTTATTAAAACATTCCCAACGTTTAAGGCACTAAGCTGGTACATGACAGAGCTTCCAGTGCTGACTTTCACAGCGCTAGAAAGACAGACCCTCCTAGGTAACACCTACAGTTACCAAAACAGGCACTAGATTGTGCAGAACTTCTGCACTTGACAGTTGTAGACAGCACTTACCACATTACCAAGCAATGACAGCAAAGGAAGGCAAAGAAAAAAGGCACAGAACATTAGTAAGTTTAACTGTACAGATGTAAGGCAAGCTGTCTCCATATTCTCCAGCAGACGTTTTCTTTCTGAGCTTGGGTCACTGGCCGTCTTATAACTCTACATCATGCCCTCGGTGAAACGATTACAAGAACTACCTCATACCTGCAGAGCTTTTTAACACCCCAAGAGAAGTACTGCATAATGAAAATCACATCTTCAAAACTCCTGTATTCAGCACCAGCAGAGACTCGAGCTGCATTGTGGTTTTGATTCACTACAGACTTTTCATAAGAATATGGAGACTGGCTTACTGTTTGGCCTCCTTAAAGGCAGGCAGGCCACTTCATACCTTGCTGGCCAACTGCGACACCCCCACGGTGACCTCCTCAAATATTTTGCCCTCTTTCACCTATGTGAATCAAAGTATTCGTAATTAGTCATAAAACAAAGTATTATTGAAACCTTACGACAGGCTTGCTTGTGCTTAACAGCTAAAACCAAAAAGTGTAAAAAAAACCCCCAAACCTAAACTGAAAGTGAATCAAAATATACTTAGATCAAAACAAAAGTTTTGAAAAAGACTTGTAAGAGTCCATTGATTATAACAGAGTGAATCTCAGCCCTTTGAAGTTTGTGGGAATCTTCTACTGATATACACACAGTTTGAGGAAGATATCATTACACTAATGCTGAGCATAAAAACACCAGCGCAAAACACACCTGCTAATGTTGACATTTTATAACTATATTTGACTATGTAAAAAAATATGGGTTTGGAGAAACTGAAACTCTATCAGATCCATTCTATTCTCTTTTATACATATTTAAATATTAAACTTTGGTCAACCAGAATACAGTTGGTGAATTCAGAAAGTAACACTTATTTAGAACTAAGAGCACAACATCCTAAGGGAAACACTTTTTTTTTTTTAATACAGAAAGTAACAATCCTCCTTAAATTGTCCTACGAAATAAAAACCAGCTCCAGGAAATGCACCCTAAAAATAACCCTGAAAATAATGCACCTAAGCACCCTGAAATAAGTTGTGGATAACTCAGAGGAATAAGAAACCAATTAAGAGTTTTCTGCTGCGATTTGAAATGCTATGTAAAGAATGTGGAATTAATAAAGGTAATGCAAGACAAATTAATTTGTAATGTGATTAAACCATTCTTATCAAATTGAAAATTAATCCATATCCCAAAGTGGTGGCACTGCTTCTCTTACGCGAGACAAATTAATCTGCTTTATCAAAGCCACTATCTTTTGGGAAAAAGCACGTAGGTAAGTAGAGCACCACATTCTCAGAAAAGAATTCATCAAAATTTTGGAGCTGATCCAAAATTCTAGAAGCACAGAACAAACGCATGCCAAATGGGAAAGATGTAAAAAGTATGGGGTTTTGGTTTGGGGTTTTTTTTTTTAAACATATGAAACAGGAAAGCGGCATTTGACACTAGGGAGAGTCTGTGACTAAAATTTGTGGTGTCAGTGATCATTCATCACTACTGAGGATTGCCTTGACCTTTCTTTTTTTTTTAAAAAAAAAACACACCCACTAGTGATTGTCTGCATTCACTCGGGTCAGTGCGTGCGTGTTCTTCCAACTGCTGCTACAAGTGCCATTAGCCACGTGGGTTTGGTCACTAACAATTGTAAAGGGAAGATGAAAATCTGCTTCAAACTGACTTCTCAGAAACAACACAGTAACTAGAACTGCTCATCAAAATGCTACTTAAGACCACACTGAGTATCAATGCACACAAAACTTGGTATTAACTACCAGAAAGAACGTCTTACTCCTATTGATAAACTGTTGTCGTTCACCTTAAATCTTTGCCCCAAATTCTACTGCCCCAGATGAGGCAGGTGATGAACTACAGTGGCTCAAAGATGCTTAGGTGAATTAAAATGCTGGCAGGCAGATGCGTAAAACACTATAAACTTAACACTCAAAGATACTACTATTCATATTTTCTTTTTAATAATTGATTTTTATAGCCATTTAGGGTGCATTTTCATCTTTTCCCAGCTTCCATTATCAAAAGTATGAAATTTATGAAATAGTATCTAACGGGGAATAATGTAACAGACTCTTGTGGACATGGAAAGATTGGAAATTACCCTCATTAACCTTTCTTTGGTATATGAAAAAACAGAAGGACACGCTGACAAACTGTGCAGTTGTGGCAGGAGGAGACAATCACTCCCTAAGTCAGCATAACCATGCTCTGCAAATAATTTACTAGTTCCAAAGTTACCTTTTCTTGTGCAGGTTTGAGAACATTTTCATTTAATGTCTGACCTAACTCTGATGCCTATTTAAAAGCAAAACAAAAACAAAGTCAGTTATCAAAGTCAGTTCCTTTAGAGAAAAAAAAAATATAAAAATACAGAAACCAAAAAACACAGTCAACATCTGCAGGCTAATTTCTCAGCAGCATCTCCAAAAACAGGTGAAGCCTTAAAGCTTTGATTCATACAAGCAGAATGAGCTGAAAAGCACACACAGTACAGTGCTGCAGAAAACATTAAAAGAAAATAAATTAAAAACAGATGTACATAGCAATAGGTCACTGGAGATGCCCAGAGCCCAAGCACAGTGTGACCTTGCACTGGAAGCAGAAGAATGGTTCAACCAGCAACAGCCTAGAAGGTGGGCCCCTTGCTAATGCCTGCAGCTGATTATTTGGAAGAACTGACCTCATCCACCTTTATTTTTCCTTAGTAATGGAATTATTTGTACAATTAGATCTTTATGGCCAATTTTTCAGCAATTCTTCTGTCTTGGAATGCTGCTCTCGTCACCTATTCGTAACAGTCCAATTGTTTCTAAGCAATACACAAGAGGCAAAACTGTGACAGAAGATTTTTGTAATCTTTTTTTACAGCTCCAGGTTTGCAGGGAGAGAAATCAATGAACTTTAGCAATCTATTGTAATCCAGAAGAAGATGCGTCAGGATACTGTACTTCAGAGGCATCTTACAAAAACGTTAAGCTCACAGCGTAACTCCCAAAATTACTTGTCCTAAGACAATATTGACATGGACAGCAGGGCTAGCAAATGTTTCATTTGAAATAATTTTTTTTTTCCCTACTACTCTAATAAGCCTTTGATTTAAACTTTTCTTCAGAATTGCTGTATTATACTGATTACCTTCTGAATTAGTCCAATTAATCCAAAAGGGCCAATTTGCTTGAGAGACAAACTTTATTCCTAAACATTAGCAGAGTCTAATGAAGTTTCATTTCCTAAGGGTTTATATCTTATCACTAACTTTGGTTAGGGTGTGAGCCTTCATTCATATTCCTCCTGGGGATGGATCACCTCAAGTATCTTTTCTCCACAGATTCCCAGGTGTCTAAAAAGCTTCTCTCTTAGCCACCCAACCACCACTATCTCCAACACTTCTCCTCCTGATCAGTTCACAAGTTATTTGAGAAGACAAAGGCCAAAGGTAACTCCATTCCCACCTAGTAAGAAATGTGAATGCAAATCATGTAAAGCTGTTTCCACTGGGAGCGAGGCTACAAGGTGTTTAAGGAAAACAAGAAAGGGGATTTTTATTCTTTGAAAAATCCTTCAGTCTATTAAGCCTGGCAGACTGTTTATGTTATAATAAAGAGTGTAACACACTAAGATTAATGGTTCAGATATGCTAAGTGAGGTCATTGTTAGAACTGGGAAGCACTCTTACATTATTCCATTTACTCAACCATGTAATTTCATGAATATGGAAAGATTTGTACAAATCTCTTTTCATCTGAATTGCTTCATCTTTACTATTGTTGAATTTAGGATAGCATCTTCACCACCATTACAGACACTACTCAATGGGGCATTCACTAAAGAGCCCTCCTTCAAACAATACCCCAGGGTAGTTCTGGGTGTTCTGCATTCCTGGATCAGACATGCAAACAGAAATCCTGAAGTCATCTGTGTTTATGAAGAGCGTAGACAGAAGTACAGCATGTTTTCTGAGAGTGCAAAGCTTGGATATCTCTATCCAGTTTAACCTATTTTAAGGAGGTTTGAAGAAACATTACCGTATGAAACACACATTATTCTAAACAGATTTGACTTAAAGGCAAAAAAAAAAAAAAAAGACAGCTCAAGAGCAAATGCACATATTCAGCACGAACAGTGACAAGGAGTCCATGCACAAGAATATATGTGAGGGCGTTACCGGCTCTGGCTGCTGCTTGTAGCCCCAAAACTTTACCCAGACAGCAAAAGAGAAAGAGCAAGGAAGGTAGAAGCAGCTTTTAGCAAAAAATTGGCAGCATTTTTTCAGGCAAGTTAAAGTAGCATGAACCTTTTTCAATTTTAACATCTACTGACAAGACAAACAGTGAGTATGTATGGTCATTGGACAACAATTTTAAACAATATACCGTATCAAAAAAGATGTTAAATATGTTCTACGGAGCAAAAGATCAGATGTTTCAGGAACAAAATTTAAGCTTCGATAACACAGCTTATACTCTACAGCACCATGTTGCTGTGGTCCTTGTCAGTAGATGTGATGAGCTTTGACACTTATATTTACTGACAATACTGAAGATCAGTTTTCTAAAAGGGAAACTGCTGGGAGGAGTGAAAGAGGAGGACTTGTAAAACAGTTTTCTTACGTAAGCCAAGCAGTAAATACTTTAAAGCTTCTAAGTATCAAGTCTGGGTGCTTTAAACAAGACATTTTTGTGACAAAACATGCACAAGTTTGGCTGCCTACATGGAGCATTAATATCCTACTGCCTGCATCTGTCTGGACACCAACACCAGCGGTTGGTTTTGAGCAGTTGCATCCTTTGCGCATCAGGGAGCACGCCAGGCTAATGCTAGGCATATGAGAATTGTAGTTCAAAGCCAAACTCCCTACACCATATATTAATATAAGCAAGCCCTCTCTCACAGAACTTTGGCAGAGTAAGAGTCCTATTCTTTTTCCACATTTTTACATTTGAACTTAAAACTTTTCCATGCAAACAGATCTTGCTTATGTCAAGAGTTCTAATTCAGGTCTGACTGTCCCTGTTTTAACCCTAGTTTGAAAGAGGAAATGCTTTTGTAATTGCTCCTTTTTTAAACAAACACAAGTAAGTTAATTTAATAACAATATTAAGCAGTTCACGTTTGTAATATCTTCATGGGCTTCAGCAATGGAAACATGGCTTGCATTATATTATATTACCAAGAAAATTACTTCAAGATAGACCACATTTAAAGTTCACAAAAATAATATAAGGGTATTTTAAGTTTGTAAGCATTTCATTCTACTTCCTCTCCAACACACCTGACAGTTGTACACAGCAGAGTATCACTGTTTATTTCTTGCCTAATTTGATCACTGCAGTGGATTGCTATTCCCATGGAAATAAAAGCTAGAACCTAAAAATTACTGTGAAGGAAAAACACACTGGTCTGTTGAAGATCAAGTCTAAATCAATTGGTGCAAGCAAATACATGACATTTAAAGCCAATTGCAGTCAATAAGACAAAGCTAAATCTGTAGTCACCTTTTGACTTGCTTGAGATCCAAATCTGGTAGCCTGTGAAAAGAAACAGAGACATTCAAGTTTACTAGGAATAAAATCTCTGGTTTTTAAATACACACATTTAGAAATATTACATGATCTTCTCCGAGATGAATGGACCTTTGCCAGAATTTCACAGTGAGCAGAGAATATCTGTATCACCACCTCTGGCACTCCAGATTGCTCTGGGGAAGGACCAGTCTTTCTCAACTTACAACAGGGGGAAGAAAATATCTTCAATATAGATTAGATTGGTGGGCTGATGTGGATGAGTATCGGTATTTTTGTCTCTCATAATGTCACCCAAAGAAAGAGATGAGTTTAAACAGTTTATGAGTGTAACAGTTAAGAGATAACTGTTATGCTCCTAAAAATTTGGAAGAATACTAAGCAAAACTGAAAAAAGTTGTAATGCGTTATTTTCACAAAAATATTTCATCTCTTTCCATCATCATCTATGCAAAATGTAATAAATTTTTGGTTCTTCTGGTTTCAGTCTACAGATAAGTTGAATGATTGTCACCCAAGTGCGTGTATTTGCAGAACACGCAGAGCCTGACACCCATGTCTCAGTTTTTCTTACAGCATCCCTCTGGGCACAACCTCTGCCCAACAAACTTTCTATTTAAACTGACAAAAATGCTGTAGTTAGAGAAGACAAAGGAAGGAAAGAAATATAAACCCATCAGCAGTTTGTAACTTGGTATTAAATTCCTGCTGAAGAATGCAATTTGGCCTCACTTGACACAAACTGAAATTTCTGCTTTATAATAAAAATTTTTGTTGAGTTCTTGCTTGATACTTACGTCCAGGGGACAAATTTACAAAAATTTCCACCCAAAACCATGAGAAATAATTAAGGCAGAGATCTCCATTAAATATGCATCTATTACATATGCCCGAGGCAAAGATACACAAGAGGGCAGAATTTAGGTTGTCCTGGACATCACTGTTAAAACACTAAAAGAATCTCCAAGTTTACAAGAATTACACCAAAATGCATTTTGTTTACTTACACCCTCTTTAGCAGCTGAGGCAATTTTGCTTGCTCCAGTTGTAAAACTGCTCCACCCCTTTAAAGAAAGTGAGAATATTGTAAACTACACGTGAAGAATAATAATAGTGAATAACCAAGTGTTCAGTATTACATGTTAAATTAAATCAAAATGTTCACCAATAGAGCTTATCCTGTAATCGTAAGAGCTACTTGCTAGTAAAAGTGAGAATTAGTCTCTCGCTTAACTGTAATATAGTGATGAACTTCCATTATTTGTGTCAAAATAGCTGCAATTTGAGCAAACCTGAGTGCTCCAGATGTTACTCTACTAAAAATGGCTACATGACAAAAAATAAAATTCCTCTGCCTGCCCAAAGAAAAGTAAAAAAACCCCAAACAAACGAACAAACAAAAAGACATTAAAACCTTAGAAAACAGAGATTGGATGGGTGGGAAAAAAAATAAAACCATGAGCTGCTAAAATGTATGCCTGGAAAAAGCTGAAGAGAAAACAAGAATCAGTGCTCAAAACCATTCAGTTATTCATAAAGCATCCATTCAGCAATTTTCTGTTTCATAATAAAGCTTCAACCTCCTTGTTTCCTGCTAATTTTACCTTTAATAACAAAAGAAACAAAGCTTTATTTTGCTTCACTGGTTCTTGGAAGATCTGAAAACCATTGGCCATTTCTTAAGACTTTTCTGTCATGAATCAGAAAAGGTTTCTTCTAATTACTGATTGTCAGATACTGATTAAGAAACCAGCTAAAAGAAAGTGGAGCAGGAGAGTGATCCAAAATTTGTTGTTTGTTGAGTTGTTTGGGGGTTTTTTTTAACATAATCTTTAAAAATCTCTTCACAACTGTTTAGATATCAGTTCTTGTTAGTAACTCATTCATCCGGAATTTGCCCAGTAAAAGAAGTGAAAAAATCCCCATCATACTTAATTGGATAAAAACCAGAAACAAACTTAACATGTCTGTGGTTCCCCTGTCTCTAATAATGAAGAAACAGATCTTTCTGTTCTTTGCAGATCACCACCACCTAATTTTAAGCTGTGCTACAGAATCTTTTAAACACAGCACTAGGAATTCGAGGTTAATATCCATGTCTACCACTGCCTTTTATCAGTTTGATTGCTGTCAAGGTGCAGATGTTTTGTTTCAAGGAGGGATGTTTTGGTAACATGATACCTTTTAGGTAATTTCCATACAAAAATCTGTAAACAGCAGAAACTTTTTCTGATTACCCTTTCCATTCAATTTAACTATAACACATAGTTAGGTTGAGGAAAAGTCTTTTTTAAAAAGCAGCAAGAAATAAATTTTTTTGCCTATCCCTTTGAAGTCTCTTCACTAATTGCCTTTCTTGTCCTGTGCTGAAACACTGAAAGATAATTCTCTCTCCAACTGCAAAAAAGGCAAAGTGATGTGTCTTGTAGTTTTATTGTTAAGCAGAGTCTCAAGGGACTCAAGACCGACCTAAACTGCAATTACATCTGTTCTTTACAGAACGAGTTGGATAGTGTAGTCGGTGTAAATTACACAGAAGATGCTCCTTCTGATATGTAACAGCAGAAAATAATGTATATACATAAGTGTAGCGCGTGTGGGGAAAAAACAATCATAATGCAGGGGAAGGAAAATTGCTTTCCTCACGAGGATGAATATGCATGCAAATATTCAATCTCGCTATAATAAACGACTCAAAACTACACTGTAGTATGTATCTGCGGTCACAAGAGGGCATTTTAATCATAAGTTTCAATGAGATAATGTAATCAAATAATGTTTGACGGTAACTTCCCTCCTTTGCTCAGCACGTCTGCCATACATTCTAGATGTGGTTTCCAATTGGAACTCTCTGGCCTACGATCTGTGACATGATTAGAAAATATTCAGCAGACCTATAGGAAGCACCCTATGGGATCACCTGGAATACTGTTCAAAGGCTCAGGAATTACCTTTTTCTGTTACATTCTTGTGAAATATATTTTAAAATAAACAAACAACTGAACCTGGTGTGGATATTTAGACCAAGGAGGCTCTACAGGAGATTGCTGGCCACTAACCCTGGTGGAAAAAACCTTACTGTATTTCAAAGTCACACCAAATCCCAAATATTGTTCAGCACTGTTACTCTGCAGCCTATCAAAGCACCAATATGTCCCTGACTGCCTCCAATTTTATTCCCATTTTCCTTCAACAACGCATCTTTCACTATCTCTACTTTAATCGTGACAACTGTTCGACCATATGCTGTTATCTCTTCACACCCTGTCACAAGTATTTCAAATGTTTTCATCACTGCTCAGGGCTTCTGGCACTCAGGTACACACACATTTCAGTTGTTTTCCACTGAATATACCTAATACAGTTAATCTATTTAGAGCATTACCAGACTAACTGCTATTCCCAACAGGTAATTACTTTTTTTTTTTTTCCTTCTCCAAGCCCTGTTGAGTATTAGTTCTTAATCCATTGCTATATCCTCATTTCCTTATTTCTATAAACTGATACCAGACATAATTCCTACATTTGGCTCAAGTTTCTCCCTTCATTTTGCCTTTTACGGTCCACCAGCATCTTCTTCGCTCTTTTGAGAATCCAACCAATACTCTGCATCTCTCCGTATCTACCTGCAATCTTTAGTTTCTCTTCCTCTGTTTATATTCTCCCACAACAGGGGATGAAACAGAAGAAAATAGTAATTCAGGTCACAGAAAGCTTCAAGCAATTCCTTACCGAGTACAATGAAGACATAGCATTATTCAGGAAGTCATCCTCTTTTTTTGGAGGGTTTACTGTGTTTCCAAACCCCACGTAACGATTTTCTTGGCCGCTACTATAAGAAAATGAGTAAATAGTATCTGTATTAGCATGGATTCATGAAAACCATTAAACAAAAGATGAAAAGCTTGAAAGAACGACAACTGTTTAACAGACTCCAAAATACACCTGGAAAAAGTCCTAAAGCACCCCCAAATACAAAACCACTTGCTTCATAAAGACAACACCAACAAAGATCCACAGGGGAATCCTTGCAAATTAAAGTGTCCCCTACGGACGCTAACGTGGTCTTAAGGATTCTCTAGGTTTACAGAACACTGCCATCAGAAGCCTGAGTAAATCCTAATAAAGTGATACATGAAAATGGGAAAAGGAAAGGAAGAAGTAAACAGTGTTAGCTTTATAAATATGCCTGTTTAACTCAATACTATACACACTAAAAATTCCCTAGTTTGGAGCTCACCACAGTAACATTTTGAGTTACAAGTTCTTTCTTCAATGCTATTCAAACATTTTTGTTATATAAACATGTTAAAGAGGCACTTTCCTTCATCTTTACCATACATTATCAACATATTTTTAATAGTAAACAAGATGTAACTGTTAACTAGTGAATCAGGATCACAGCTACGTGGCTGTAGTATAACATCTGTGTCTTTATTATGCTACAGGGCCAGGCACTCAAAAAGTTAATAAATATTGCATTACCCTTGGTAGGAGCCAACATCATCATTTAACCAGTCTTCAAAAGCCTTGTCAGAAGAGGCAGTTGCAGTCTGAGATTGTCCAGCAGAACTACTGAAATGAAAGATTTAAGAATCAAACTGCGTAAAGCAAAACCCACTAGCTCAGCAGTGCAGCCTGACGTATGTCATCATAATACAGGTGCAAAATTGATTATTTCTTTCATCTATCACATAGAGAACTCTAATGCAACCACTAAAAGCCACCAGAGTATTGAATGAATAAAGCAATGGCAGACCCAGACAGTGCTGCTCAGACTCCAGCTAGCTCCTGAGCTCGCTGGATGATGGCCAGGCACGAAGGGCTTGTTTGCTTGATCTACAACTGCTTTTTCCGTTAACTTGATTCTTTAGCGCAAAGAGTAACAAACACAACGTGCAAAAGCAGAAAAAACACAAGTGCTGTGCTCCAGCTTTCATGCTGTTGTAATCAGCACCATAAAGGAGAAGTCTGTTTCCTCTTTGCTGGCACGAACGGGGACAGCATTGAGTTAAGGTAATGTGTGACACACTACATGTGACTTGACACAAGGTTGTTTTGTCAGTCACAGCAAGTCAAGATGACAACAGCAAGGCTTGTCCTCTGCTCTTCTCACTTGTCTTTGCCATAATTTAAGGTTCAGATGGAGAAGGTGGGAATTATTACAGAAATTAAAGCCCTGTTACCTCATATTCCTTAACTTCAGCATAAGAAATACTTGCTCAGACAACACCACCAACAGAATAAAACCAGCAGACATTCAAATGTCAGGTTTTGATCCTGCTGTAGCTATATCAACATTAAATAACAAGAATACATACCGATGAGTGGAAGAGAGAGACATTTTAGGCTGAGGTGGGGTCCAGTTCCTGGCAGGAGAAGTTTCAATGGACCACTCCTTGCCTTCAGCTACTGTAGCTACCTAGAAGAGGTAGGAAAATAATCAAGAATGCTAGGTCAGATTTTTCATACAAGTTACACACTGGTGCTGTAAAGGGAGGACCAGTCATTTTTCCAGTTTGCTGCCAGCTGCATAGATCAATTGTTCTGTTTTCACAAGAAACTTCTGAGTCTCAGGCTAGTAATGTTGAATTGAACATGGAGTTTATTTCAGGCAACTGATTTCAGGCAACTTCTTCAAACAGACAAATTTAGTTTGAAGAGGAAAGACAAGATTAATAGCAACTTAAGTACTAATCACAGGATAATGAACAGAAAGAGGTGGATTTATTCTCTAGCACAGGGCAGCTGAAACACATGCACAGAATTTAAATGTTCTCCCTGTCTCCTTCAAAGGACCTGAACTTCATCTCTTCACCCCATACTGCTCCTCCAATCCAAGTCATAACTTCTGCAAGTTAATAAAAAATTTCCAAAGGCCCTGCCACAGAAGCTCTGCAGTTTGTTCCATGTACTAAAAGGCCTACAGCACCGAACTTGGGAATTCTCTGCTTTCAGCAAGATACTCCAGTCAACCAGCTTCTATTCCCAGCAACTTCTAAAGATGCAAAGAGACCACACACACACACAACAAACTTCAAAGCTGCATGGGCATCCCAGTGAGCCCAGAATGTACCTTCTTACCACTTCCATGGCAGGGTCAGAATAAAATACAGAATCTTTCTAAGTCTCTAAGCTCATGAATTCAAGATGTCTGTCATTTCATTTTTGGAAATTCCAAACCTCCCAAAAAACAACACCACCATTACAACTACCAATTTATTTGTTCATTAGCCTGACAGCGTTTGCCACATTAATTTACCATTTTATAACTACATACACCAGCAATCACTTGGATAAAACACTAGTGCTGAAGTAGTAAACTGCTGTGGATTAGGACAGCTCCGCTAACTAGTTGCAACAAACTGCAGTAATGAACATCTGAGCCACCTCAACTAAACACAGTAAAGAAAGTTTCTAAAGAAAATTCTTACAGAAGTTGGGAAGAAGCACTCTAAAAATTATCCTTTTCAAGAACCACAGCAGAGGTTCAAAAGATTGCTACTTTCCTTCTCCCCCATGCTTCATAAACAAGCGCTTACAAAGCACTTTGATGTTTTCAGATAGCAGAGGATGAGGACACACACAACTGAGCTTACCTGATCTCTAAAAAGAGCTGCAGCTTTGCTGTTGTACTTCTCCTGCATTGACCAGCAGGGATCATAGTCATCTTGAGACTCCAAGAACTCTCGAAATTTGCTATTACCTCCAGCCTTCATTTTCTCCAGCTCAATATCCTTCCATTTGTCCATGGTTACAGAACGTACAAAACTGAAAAGCAGGGTTTTTTTTAAAAAATTAAAAGCAGTTTGTTATAATTTCATGCTATATCAGCAAGGAGATAAAAAAAAGCTTATTACAAAAATATCTTAAAAATTGGGAGTGCAAACATGTTTGAGAACACTCTCCAACTATAGAAAGATAGAAAATCATAAGAAGGTGCTCATATATAAGCTAAAATCATGTCATTTATTTGCACTCCAAGGAGACTGTCAAGAGAAGGCAAGTGACAGAAAAAAAGCTTTCTTCAAGTCCAGAAATTAATCTAATCCACTACATAAAAGAAACTTTTCCCATACTTCTTCACTCTGCCATTTTCTTTTCCTGTCTATTTTCACAATTACACTGAAGCGACCTGCGAGGACACCTCTTGTCCCACTCCATGCTTCTGCTCATAAGGACCTTCAGCTGTTGAAAACAGCCCACCCTATAACCTGACCCCATCTCAGGGCATTTGTCACTGCAGCCAGCATCTCAACTCTGAGCCATAAATTCTTGCTACTGCTCATGAAACTGTATTTTTAAAAAAGCACAAAAAAAAACCCACAACAAAAACCACAAAAAAACCCCAACCAACAGTGTCCTGTTGTTAAATACAAGGTCACAGAGGAGAGGAGAGAAAAAAAAAAAAAGATACATCATCCTCAAGAAAGCTCTTTAAAACTTGTATCTTGACCGCTTGCTTTCTTTTTGTCCCTAAAGAAATACCCTTTATTATATCCTCATCTCAGTAATTTCATTTTTTCTTTCATGTAACATATGGAATAATTCCAAACTCTCATTTCCTATGCAATTTCTATTCACTAATGAGCTTTAAATCACTCCTTGAAAAGCCAAGCACGTACTTCTGAATGGCCTCCTGGCTTTGGTGATCTCTCCCCTGGACTTTCTCTCCCTTTCTCATTTGAGAACTACCCCATGCTCTGCCCCCATTATTTATACACACACTGTGTCTCCAGAACATGTAACAGCTCTTATTCCATACATTCCCATCTCAGTGGAGCATGTTTCTTGAACAAAACCTGTCATTTATATTAAAAAAAAATAATCTCCTGAACAGAATAAAACTGGTTTATATTCTTGCATACACTACAGAAACATTCTGTAAGCATACTGTGACTTTTTCTGCTCAACTCTCAAGCTGCTCTAGCACTACTTTGGGTTTAATTGTAAAGATTATACAAAATTAAAAGAATAAAGTACAAGGACTAATGCAGTATTACCAAACACCACCACACAACCTCCAGATGCAACTAGAGACATTGCTTTCCAGAACCGGGCACAATACAGCTGCACCCCTGCAGCACACACCCCAACTAATTATAGCATGAAGCAAAACTGCCAATGAAATGTTGGACTTGAGACATTCTATCCCCTTCCGAAACAACACATTCAGTTCACAACCCTAATGCACCCCGAGGTAACCCAATTCAGTCCATCGTCTGCTTGAAAGGCTGACCTGAGGTGAACTCCCAAGCCTCGGTGTTTTCCTGAGCACTCCAGACAGATCCAGATTCCATAGGTCACGCTCACCCACTGGGGGTTAAATGCACCACATTCAAAACAGACCTGCAGAAAAACAATTATCTCTAACACTCAGCCATCTCTTGTCCATGCAAAGTAGTAGAGCTCAAAAGTCAAATCATGAAAATGTTACACACAGACAATAATTTCAGACGGGAGAGTTCTTAGCATTTAGAAACACCTTCCCTGACAGCATAAGCTTCCTTCAAATATTTGCTGCATGGAAAGAAATATTCATTAACCTGCCTGATTTGGATTATAAAAATTACTGTACTGGCTACCAAAAACCAGTGAGGAAATACAGATAAGCAAGTTGAAAATAATGAGCAAAGAATTCAACTTGATTTCCTTTTCACATTGTCTTGAAGGAGGAAAAAGTAACTAAACTGAATTCTTGAGGTTTCCCTGGCAAAATAAAGATGCAACATTTAAAGTTGGGAACATTTAGTCAGTCATACTACAGGCTGGCAGTAAATGATAGCAGATCTAAATAGATTAAAAATAGCTTTATTGCTCATACAGTGTAATAACTTCAGTTCCTAAGACTGGAATCACCATTCAATGTTTAATGCATTGATATAAACATACCTGAACCTATCCATGGGCTATCACATTTAAGGTATCCTATAATCAAGCTACTAGAAACTGGCCATTTTAATTAACCTGTGCCCAAGGCATCACTTGTTCAACAGACTCCGGGGGTTACAGCATTACTAGAACTTCTGACAGACTTGTGCCAAACATGCAGCAATGTATTATAATACACATGTGAACAAAAGTTACTGGAACTAACACAAATATGAGATATCCCAATTTATACGTCACCGTTAGTCACCCGCACTAGTGCTATAAAGGCACTAGCTGTAGTAGAGCACAACATATATCTGGAGTAGGTAACAAGAAAATTCAGTTCTACAAAACCAATCTAAAAAAGATTGAGATTATCATTTTCTTACATTGTTCTCATCTTGTGCTCTGACTTCCTTCAGAACTTTCCTTGTTCTTGGACTCGCCATGGTTCTACAAAGGTACAAAAAAGAAAAAACTAAGTCAAATTCAAGAATTTAATATCGGCAAGATGTTCTGCACCTAGCAGCCTAAACCACTGATTCACAACCAATTGCAAGGGAAAAACAAACAAACAAACCACCATAAAACCCACAGCCTTACTCTTCCATTTACTTTACACGTTTTGGGAGATTTAGTCAACTTCATTGATTCATTGGAAAGGTGAAATTCAGCCACAGCTGAAAAGGGGGCAGGAGTGACAAACATGGAAACTCTTCTATGCCACGTGCTGTATAAAAACAGACTCTTACTTGATGCTGCTGCCAGTCCCATCCGCTACCCTTTCTGAGAGCACTTTACAATCACGCCTGATTACACGGGATCACATGCCTACAACTAAACAGACTAAGCAAAAAATAGCAGAAAAACTCTTACACTTCGGAGTCCTGAACACGTCACTGGAAAATACAAAAAACTGACTTTCCAGAAATACTGAGTTTGCTTATCAACTGAATTCTAAGAAAATAAGGCAATTATTTGGACCTTTCACACAAAATAGAATTCTAATTCCAACAGTCATGTCTCACTAGCAGACCACATCATCTCACTCTTTACTTTTATGGAGCATGAAATGCAGCAGCAGGGAGAAGTGCCAAGCTACGGATAAAATTCACATTAAGAAAAAAAAAAATGTGACTTACAGTACACAACCTGAAAAAAACTGGAAGTACGTAAGACACTCATGATTAAAAGAAATAAAGTGCAGGGTGCAGCACAAAACTGCAATTTAGATAAAGAATGAATCCATATTTCCAATTAATTTGGTAGTGTGATATTTAAATTAACTTTAAGTAAATAATATCTTTTTACTTCTAATCCATCCCTTTCATTTCTACTCTAGAAAACAAATTTCTAAGACATAATAAAAGACAGAAAAGTCACGAGGCTGGCTAGAAACCTCAACAACTACTAAATGTCAAGCTTATTTGTCAGTCAAGACAGAAAGCAGTAAACATTTTCATCAAATATTGATCTGAGAGGCAGAAATGCCTTTATACAAACCTTTCGACACTTGTTCACTGTGCTATTTAACTAAACAGTCATAAATCCTTAAATTATCAACAGGATTAAAAATCTTCCAATAATTTTGAAGGTAAATGATTAAGCATTACATACAATTGCCACAACCCAGTAGGGGATGGAAAGAGAACAAATCTTTAATTATAAGAGGAAATCTATTTTAAAAAGACAAATGCTACAGGTAAGAAAATATTAGTTTTCTCTGAACGTGACATCAACTTCTGAGAAATCTCTAAAGCAGAACAGCCTTTCTGTGAACCGAAACCACAGTGGTACAACACACACAATTACACTCCACACCAGCTAAGACAACACGATTCAACATTGTACCTACCTATTATGTCTGTTAAAAGCAGAAGCTATTTGTGGCAGAACTCACTGCCTTTTATCTAAAGCACTTATTGCTTCGTAAACATCTCACTGCCAAATACTTAGTTCTGTGTAATTTAAGGGACAGTGTTTTCACTGACAGGCTACCTTTTGATCTTAATTTGTATTAGACAAAAATAGGTAAGCTGTGAAAAAAAAAAAAAAAAAGTGGTTTAAACTGAAAAGGTTACTGTAATTAATGGTAATATCTTCTAGTCATCCTGCATCAAGTTAAAACTGGAATTATTTTTATCAATGATCAAATGGAAATTGTGTAACTTTCAGAAATGGGAAACAAAGTGTGGCAAGTGACCCCTTGTATAATGAAACAAACTTGCTCCAATAGCAACATTTAATTTTATATAACTTACATGCATGTGAGGAGGGAAATAGCACTACATATAAAACATGTTTGCACACGTCCTAAACAGAGACATAAACACATTTACATGGATCGAAGTCCACGTTTTCAATTCCACTCTGTCACTGGCGAGGTAAGGGAAAATTCTTCCTCTACAGTACAGAAATTAAGTAAATCCCATAGCAGTCACAGGCCAGAGAGACAATCAGGCTCTCCTCTTTGCCATTTTTATTATGTTCTCTTCCCATGCCAACTCCCCTTTCCTCAGGGCTGTATTTCCCCAGCAACTTCTTCACATTACCAACAAGTTACAAGGTTCCTCTCTCTGGCTGGCTGCTTGTTCACCTTACTGCTATCCTCCCTTTACCATTTCTTCCTCCCTTTCTCCACATTTTCATTCAGAATAACACACTGAGGTAGACTAGAGGCTGCAAAGGCCTTCCAGCCTCAACAGCAAATGATCATTGCTGGAGCTGAACAGGAAAGCCTTTTCCCACTCCCAATTCTGCATGAGCCAGGAATTTCCTATAGAGCAGAGAGAGACATCCATCCTACAACAGGCAATATCCACATCCTACAACAGCAAAAATCCACAGCATGTCAGTGTTTACAAACAGTACGAGTTTCGGATTTCTGACTCCAAGCTGACAGACGAAGCAACTGTCTGCTGTAACTGCTTTTTTTGATAAAAGACTTTTAAAAAGAAAGACCTTGGCCAGCTGCAGTCTAAACACATGCCCATTCCAGAAGCACTGAGTTCCCTGACCAGATCACCATGTCTGTCTGGTGGGAAAGCAGAGTTTCATCCAAGAGGAGGCAGTGACCAAGGCCACCAGCTTTGTGCCCTTCTCTCATCCACCAAAGTATTTGGAAATAAAGGAAAGGGGGATAGGATAAGAAAATAGAGTCCCGCTTTAAGTTTTCTAACAGGTAACATCTTTAGAGATGCTTACCCTATTTTCAACTGTATTTGCCCACAAAGTTATAAGTGATCAAATTATCATTGTTTACCACCCAAAAGCCGAGCCCTAGTGCCTGACTGGGCACATAGCCTATTTCAGGAGTAAAATCTTCAGTAAAAACTGTGCAGATATCTTATAAATGTATATTGTTTTGATCTGATGTAAATGGACATGAGCAGTAAAGAAAGTGTTTGGTTTAGGAATCAGTTTTCATTGAAGAATATAAATATTTTGGCCTAAGGGTTCCAAGGTGTAAACAAACATCTTCACACAGACCAATCTCACACTCTTATTTCCCAAACAACCTCTTCGCAGAGCAAATACCAGACATGCACCATATGAGTTTCCACATTAGGAATCTTTAGCTTGCTACAAGCAAAGAGGCAGTAGCGGCACTAGACACTTTTTTAAGTGGAAGAGAGCTATAATGGGACTTTGCTCTTCTGATGCAGCAGCAAATGCAGAGAGCCCAGCTGTAAAGGGCTCCAAGATGAAGCAGGTGACGTGGGCTGCACGACTGCACGGCCCTGATGGTTCCCTGTGGGTCTCACCAGGGCAAAAAAGCCCCAAAGGCCTCACCAGCTGATGAACCAAACGCTGCCAAACCACCTCCACGGCGCAAGGCAAGGCTCACTTTCAAATATCTACCAGAAGCTGCTGCATGTTTTCAAAGCCGTGCGGTTTCTGCCTGCCCAGAAGCGCAGCCGCCTTACCGAGAGCTCCTCAGGGGGAGGCGAGGAGGGCGATTTCTTCCCGCACACCTGCGCTAGCTGGATCCACGCTGAGTGCTGGAGGCCTCCCTCAGAACATGGCCGGATTCCCAGCGAGCGCACCGGCTTCTCCTTTCTAGGAAAAAAAAAAAAAAAAAGAGATGGGTAAAACAGCGGGGAGGGAAAGGCCGTCGGGAGGAGAAGTTCAGGCCTCCGACCCTCCCGTGTGACAGGCCGCCTCAGCGCCGCCGCCAACACCACCACCACCGCACCGCCCCGAGCAGGGCCTACCGGGATGGCCGAACCGCCCCGGGAGAGTTAACAGAGCCCGGTATAAACGCACCGGCGAGTCTTGACGCGGCACCGCCGGGTCCCCGGTCCCGCCCGGCGCCTCACGGCGCAGCCGCTGCCCCCG